GGCGATTTGCTTGTTTTCGAATATAGCAGCTCTGACTAGTGGTGATTGTGTCCTTTTTCATAATATGAGAGGTTTAAGGTGCCAGATGAACTTTCTCGATGTACAAATCTTGAACATCTTCAAATGTCAAGGAATTCGTTATCAAGTGTCCATGGCGAGCTATCCGACCTTCCTCGATTAAGATCTGTAATCGTGCGGCATAACCAGGTAGGTTCTGTTTCCTCTCATGCAGCCGAGCGAATTCTAATCTCTGTTCCACGGTTGATCGGTTCAGCTGAATTCATTGGGAAAGTTGCTTTGGAGGAAAAATAGGCAGACAGCTGTACCATTTTTCTTTGATCATCAAAAAATATGTACCACAGAACGAGGCGGTGATCTCTTGGGAAAGCTTCATGGGTGTAGAGTATTTTGGAATTCGTTCATGACAGAACCCTTCATCGTGTCTTGAGGCGCATTTATAGTCGGTCGTGATCGTCGTAACGATCGCACAGCATTGGATGCGTATCGATCGCCCAATCCCCGAACTCACGTCTGAACAGATAGATACGCAATTCCAGATCTGTGCGATTATATATGCGACCTCAAAAGCGACAGACTATGAAACGCATGTCCGTCATGATGATCTTTTACGGCGATGCCTGTGTTTCGTGCTTATGAATTTCTGCATAAAGGTTTGTTGCATCGAGTTCTCCTCAAATGGTGTAGGCGAAAATTGAATACTATTATTTCGCGAGTATACAGCATTGAGCTGTAATCGCACTTACCTACAAATGGTAAATAGGTGATCAACTTTGCTGTTGTTCTCCGCTGGTCTTTTCCAAAGGGTCTCTTAAATTAGCGTAAAATCTTACCTATTCTTCATCTGTCTTTCAGCCTTCCTAAACAACTTATTTTCAGGTCAAAACGGCTGGCATACCTACTGATATCTTTCGCATGAAAGATTTGACTATTATTTGACTTTTCACATAACCAGCTAAGAGAAGTCCCTCCAAATCTTGAATATGCCAGAGGTGCTATAGTCCTTAACCTAGTCCCAAAACATTGAGAGAACACAATTACCAGGAATCAGGTGGATCCTACTTACTATATAAAGCGCTTCGTCTGTCGTGTGTCCCTCTGTCTGTCGTTCTGTATGTCTGTCACGAAATTCCCTAGCTCCTCGGGATCCGCCTGGAGGGACCGGGTCAAGTGTGGGATGGGTGGGCAGGGTCTCACGTAATACAAAACACACATCAGCTAAGCGGAGCCCCGCCCACAGAGGGCGTGGCGTGCGTCGAAATGAATTGTACCAAAGACCAAGATTTCGATTTCAGTGAAAAAACGACCTCGAAACTGGGCCAAAAAGTGGGCTAAGGTGTGCATTGGTAAGTCACATCGAATTAGGGAGACCCCCGGTGGGCGGGGCGTTCTCTAAAAAAGCAGTGCTTTATGAAAAATTTCATAACTCGGTTGGGAGAAAGCCTACAGAGCAGAAAACAATTGGTGTAAGGGAGCAATGTCTAAGGTGTTTCCGCATACATGACGTGGGCGGAGGCCTGCCCAGAATGGGCGGGGCGCGCTCTGAAGTGTACAGCATTTTCTACAAGCCCTCATAATTCGGGTCGGGGAAGTCCTAAAGAGCCGGAAAAAGGTGGATAGAGGTGTATGGAGGAGTGGAGGCCAGCTATCAATGGTGGGCGGGGCTTGACCAAAGTGGGCGGAGTTTGCGACGAAAATTTATAACTCGGCTCCATGAAGCTCCGGAGGCTGGGGAAAAGGTGGATAGAGGTGGGTGGAGGAGTGGAGGCCAGCTGTCATCGGTGGGCGGAGCTTGACCAAAGTGGGTGGAGTTTGCGACGAAAATTCAGAACTCTGTTCCAGAAGGTCCCGGAGAGTGGGGAAAAAAGAAGATATAGTTGGGTGGGAAAGTGGAGGTCAAAGGCCAGTGGTAGGCGGGGCTTGGCCAAAGTGGGCGGAGTTTGCGACGAAAATTCATGACTTGGCTCCAAGAAGTCCCTGAGGCCGCGGAAAAGGTGGATGGAGGTGGGTGGAGGAGTGGAGGCCAGCTGTCAATGGTGGGAGGGACATGACCAAAGTGGGCGGAGTTTGCGACGAAAATTCATAACTCGGCCCCAAGAAGTCCAGGAGGCTGGGAAAAAGGGAGTAGAGGTCGGCGAAGGAAAGGAGGTCAAATGCTATTAGTGGGTAGAGCACGCACCCAAGTGGGCGGAGTTTGCCAAAAGTATCGCAATTCGGTTGCAAGAGGTCCTAGAGATAGGGGAAAACGGGGTTAGAGGTTGGTGAGGGAAAAGAGCTCAACTGCTATCACTGGGTAGAGCACGCACCTAAGTGGGCGGAGTTTGCCAAAAGTGTCGTAATTTGGTTCCAAGAGGTCCCAGAGACCGGTGAAAAAGGGGGTAGAGGTCGGCGAAAAGAAGGGAGCCAAATGCTATTGGTCGGCAGGGCACGCACCGAAGTAGACGGAGTTCGCCACGAGATTTATTGTCCGGGCCGAGGACCGAGAAAAATAGGATAATGGTTGACGAAGAAAGAGCGCATAGAATTTAGCGGAGAATTCAGATATTCGTATTGTATCAAGCCAAATTTGAAATTTTTCGTCGCACCATCAAAATTCGCCACAGATCTGTGTTGCGCGCGCAATGCGTGCGGCGCCAACTGGTATACTATAATACATATATATAAATATATTCTTCTCCTTTTACATCATAGTCTTGCTCCATGTTCTTGTTAGGGCTGTTTTTGGGCAAGGGGATGGTTTTCAGAGACATGAAGCTTTCAAAATGTTTTCTGCATGTTGTATGGGCTGATGCGAGGACCCATAACATATTCATTCCTGAACGCTCATGAATGGTCAAGCGATAGAGAAATATGGTCGAGTTCGATGCTCGGTGATGACTAATTTTGCTGTTTAGTTGCACTCCGAGATTGTACCGACCGGCCTCCATGTTGAGCATAGATATCATAGACCATGTTTTGCGGCGATTTGGAGGGTCCAACGTTAACTGGAAATTTGTCATCACGGAGGATCGATCTTTGGACTATTTCTTCTAATTGTTTTGACATCCTGGGGGCAGTTCAGCAAATGGCCATGATTTGTGATCCTACAATGGCTGTCACATTCAGATGACTACTTTGAAAAAAAAAACGCTCCATGCCCAGAGAGACCTCCCATGTTAGGGCTGTTTAGAAATTTCCGTATTTTCAGGTGTTCTCCAATCTCATCGACTTGCTGTTTCTGGATTTATCGAATAACAAATTGGATATGCTACCTCCTCAAATCCGTCGGCTCACCATGGTGCAAGAGCTTAAGCTGTCGAATAATCCGCTCCATCATTTCCAACTCAAACAGCTTCCAAGGTTAGAATTCTTATCTTATTCACTTTGTCATTGCTTGCTTTTTGATTTGCACGCTATCAATTTTCTCACAACTATCAAACCATTTGTTGGCAGGCATGAATCTCTTGCGTGTCCTACATATGCGTAACACCAATAGGACTCTAGAAAACATTCCTCCATCTTTAGATGATCTAGAGAATCTTAGGGTGAGTTGTTCTTGAATTGAAGTGTTATTCAGCGAAAGTAGGTAATTCTGTGCAGGATATCGACTTTGCTGAAACAACCTTCTGCATCCAAGAGTTTAGTTCAAGTTGAAATCTGAGGAATGTTGGACGTCAGCCGGGAATAAGGTTCTTTATTCTAGTTTCTTTTTTTACCCCCCACCCACACATACATATGTGATGCGTATTGAGAACTAAGTTGTTTTGCAGATGAGAAGATAACGTACTGAAGGAAGTTGGGAATGTTGTACATCTGAATATCAGCGGCCAATGTATGAAATCTCTGCGATGGACTTGTTAGACTGACAAAGTTGCAAAGGCTCTACGCTAGTGATAACCATCTTACCTTTGAAGGTTCGTTCAGAATTCTTTCTGATTGCGCACACTCTCTTGCATGTGATAGAGTTGTGGTACGTCGGCTCTTTTTTGTATTGTTCAGGAATACCAAGCGGCATCGGAAAGCTCGTACAGTTGATAGTTCTCCATCTTCATTAACACGAACAATTTTGGAGTTAGTACAGAAGGGATCACGCGTGTTTCGCTCCAGCGGCTTCGGCTAAACCATTAATCATCACTCTACCCGATGGTATACATCTCCTCCCTGATCTCAAAGAACTCGATCTCACTGAGTGAGTTGAAGATTTTTTCAGTCAATCGTTTAGTGGTCGCCCTTCTTTTTCTGAGCCCGAATTTCTGATTTTTGATCGTGTTATGCGGGCAAATCAAATCAAATCAAGTAGACCTCATCGCTTTTGTCCTCTGCAGCGTTTTTAAACCATGCTTACCAGTAGCTGATGATTCGTTCTTTTTTTTTTGCAAATAGTTGTAGATATGGTTCATCTTTTTTGGTACCCCTTGTCAGTTTCAATGGCATAGAACGAAATTAACATAAAGAAGAAATATTTAAAGCACTTGGGCTCCTGTAAAAATTCTCAAATTTCCTAGAGTTTTGAAGAGGCCTTTGAGAAAGGCTAAACGCGTATTCGGGAATATTCATCAAGTTTTATGCGCTTTCCAATTTTGTGTCTGCATGATTGGACGTTTTTTTGTGACGAAAAATGCTGCCAAGAATGCAACATGTTGTATAAAGGTGAATCACAAATCAATTCCATCCGTGTTAGTGACATCTCCAAAAACTTTTTCTGAGGAATAGCATTAGGTGCTGACGGAGCAGCGTTGCCCGTTTATGTGCACTTTCTTAACAGCTCATACTTTCCTCTCCCAGACCCTTTAACTTTAAATATTTTCGATTATGCCTTCTTCGGGACTTATTGGGAACCCTTGACCGGAGGGGCAATTTGCTTCGCTCTTTCTAAGTTTTCAAAGTCTTTGCAATTAGGTTCAGGAGTAGTTTCTTGTTATTGATTATGAGGACTAGAAGATCGCACGAGCTAATCTTAATAGTGGCAAACATTTCGTATTTGCAGTAACGACGATCTAGTCATGCCTCCTAAACCGAACGAAGCACGGAAAAAGCTTGCCTTCTACAATATTGACTTCTCTTTGGAACATCAGGTGTGTTTTTTGCTATTCAAAATTAATTTACTCTTTGCCACTTTTGAAAACTAGTTTCTCTCGTTTTTGTTACACTCTACTTGCCCGTCAAGCGCCCAGTTTTTCTCTCTGTCCATATTGGAAAGAAATCTCATCGTTTGTCCTACTTCAATTAGTTCACTTGTCACTTATCCGCGTATTGTTAAGGTGTTTTGTCTTACGCAACGTGAACGGTTTTTAGCGCACCCTTGCTGGTCAAAGTCCTTCCTCGTCAATTTCCTCATTGCAAAGTACTACCAAGGAAAAGGATCCGGTAGCTCGACGCAAAGACTTCATTAGAAGGAGGAAACAGCAGACGGATCAGGAAGACGCCAGCAAAGTTATTCAGGTATGTTGTAATTCCGGATGACCCTATTTTGTTATAGCTGCTCTCATACTGTCCACCAGTATTTTAAGGTGTTTATGTGCTTTTATGCTTTTGTAGTTTATGTTACCACATTCTCCGATTTCCTTGCGTAGATGGATGCTAGACTCGGCGAATATGCATTTGCGGCAGAGACAATGACAACGCCGTCATTGTCATGATTGCACAATTGCCGAGTCTGGCATGAACCTCAGTTAGAGTAAGGATGGGACGTGCCCCAGCGCTTGGCAGAAAACCTAAGCGTGGTGCAGACGTTTTTTCCACAAACAATTGCTTGCATAATTTCCCCATCATAGTCAGGGTTTTTTCTTCGTATGGAATCAGTATATTGTTTGTTAACTCACGGTCATCACTCGAAACGTTCCATTCAGGGTATGTCAAAAATAGCTGGTGCTAGCGCGGCGTTGAAGGCTGAACGCGAAGAAGAAGAGCAGAAGTTAGCTGCACGATCTGCGGTCAATTGGAAGGTGGCTTAATTTCCTTCTTTTTATCTGGTTTTGGCGAATCTGTGTCACACTCGTATTGAATTGTCTCAGGCAAATTTGGATAAGCAAAGGAAACAACTTGACTACAGTGATATTTTCGACGAGGACGTGGGTCGCGATGAGGTATTTTTTGGTTGCGCGGTTTCTTTTTTATTTTGTTTTATGCACTTCAATTCTTATTTTTTAGGGGTTATGGGTATGGGAGATCGAGAACTTTTATCCCTCCCTTATCGATGAGGCATTCCATGGGCAGTTTTACGATGCAGACGCTTACCTGGTGCTAAAAACAACAAAGGTATTAACTTTCGCGGTTCGCTTTCGAGTAATCACGAATGCGAGGTTATAGCTCTACAAAAATTCAAAATTTTAAGGAAATTTCGGGAAGTATACGGCACGAGATTTACTACTGGTTAGGTGATAAGGCTACACTTGACAAAGGAATGTGTGCAGCCGTGCATGCTGTAGGCCTTCGCAATCATCTTAATGCCACATGTCGGTCGGTTCCTTTTCCTTCTAGTTTCATTAATCGAACGTTTTCGAACATCAACTGCTCTGGATAGATTGCACATTCTTTTTAAGAACCATCCGAGAAGAGATGAATGACGAGTCCGAGGAATTCCTGGATCTTTTTGGTGGAGAAGAAATAGTGTATATAGAGGGTGCTCGTACTAGCACTGGATTCTTCACGGTCGAAAAGCCGCCACATGTCACAAGGTTTGTCAACAAAATGTGCGCCCAATTTGAAGTTTCCCTTCAATTGAGTCGAAATTTCTAATGACTGACAGTTTCTCACCTTGGTTTTCTCCAGGTTATATCGGGCTTCCGTCAACGGCACAGCTGTAGAGATGGAACCAGTTCCTGTTGCGATGGAATCCCTTGACCCTCGTTACTGCTTCTTGCTCGATGCCGGTGACACGCTTTGGATTTGGAGTGGATGGAAGGCTCGGGTAAGTAGACACCCTCGCTTTAAGGTGGTCATTGCTTACTCTGGTAATGTTAAGATAACGGTAGCAAACAAAGCCCGACTTTTTGCGGAAAGACTCAACAAGAGAGACAGAAAAGGTGCCGCTATTATCGAGACCTGCCGCGATCCGAAAGTACCTGAAGAATTTTGGATGGCATTCTGTGGGTCGCCCAATCGCCCTGAGGAAGCTATAGTTGAACATGTGCCTGAAAACTTCGTACCTGAGAGAAAACGTCTGTATCAGGTATGGCTAACTGCTCGCTAGTCTTGAGATTTGTTTTGACTTGGACTGTAATAAATGATAGAACAATGAAATATCACATTGCAGGTTAATATCGGTATGGGATTCCTTGAATTGCCTCAAGTAGACCTCCCAAAGGGCGTTGCCAAACAGGTAGGTTATAAACCCAATTACTCTTCGGCCCTCTAAATTAACCCTATGTTACAGGAGCTGCTGAACACGAAGTGTGTTTACATCTTAGATTGCACCTCCGATATTTTCCTTTGGATGGGAAAGAAGGCAAATAGGTCAGTGCTTTTGTTCAGAGGCCCAAGTTTCTAAATGCCGTCCTTGTTCTGTTGTCGCCATGTTAACGTTAATCGTTCAAGGTTACTGAAGATGGCTGGGCAAAAAATGGTCACGGAGCTCCATGAAATGATTGAAAGACCCGATTATGTACAAGTGTCGAGGGAAACTGAGGTGAGTTTAGTAGTAGAGAATTTTCTCTTCATAGCATGGGGTTCTTAATGAATTGTCTTTTTTTGCATTTTAGTTGCCTATTATTAATTTCAGGACGAGGAATCCATGATGTTCCGATCGAAGTTTGCTGGTTGGGATGACATTGTACCTGTGGATTTCACTCGTACGTCGGAGTCCGTAAGCCGCGTTCCAGATCTTAAGGTGACTACTAACTTCCCGAATACGTTGAACACTACTACCTCTTTCATTGCCTATGAGTATGCACTTGTATCTGTTCAGGTCCTCGTCAAGCGCGATAACATGATGCGTACTGACCTAACTGCTTTGTTCCTTGACCGTCAACCGGCCATGCCCCCAGAGGAAAGTGAGGAGTTGCTTAACGACTGCAACGAGGATCTTGAATTCATCGAATCCTTTGTATTGGTGGGTTTTGTCTGCAGTAAATAGGGAAAATCAGAAGGATTGTCATTGCTCATGTTCATACGATGTATAATTCAAATGTTAACAACAAACAAATTAAGAAATGTAATTTAACCACAACATTAACTTTGAGGGTGACAAATTCGGATCCTACTAGTCATCTGAGCTATGAAGCTTTACATTCGATTGTTTCCGAATAATGTTGAGCGATACATTCTGTATGTGCTTCAGGAAGGAAAGAAATTCGTCCGGCTACCGGATGGAGAATTTGGCTCGTTTTACACGATGGACTGCTATGTATTCCTTTGTCGTTATGCTGTGATACCTGATGAGTCAGAGGACGAAAGTGATGCAGGAGACGTTGAGGTGAATGCAGTCTGTTGATTAATATTTTTGAGTGACTTTAATCTATAATATCTTCGTTGATTATATGAGCGCAATTAGCCGAATCCCATATCTTTCCTTTATGAATTGCTGTCACAAATTTACTCTTATCGCGATTACAGCACTTTTCCTTCATTTTGCAATTGAGTGTTTTGTAGAGTCAACAGGATTTCAAATGTGTGTTGTACTTCTGGCAAGGCCGCGACGCGTCAAATATGGGCTGGTTGCACTTTACGTTTCAACTTCAACCCACATTTGAGAAGATTTTCAAGGACAAGTTAGAGGTATGTAGAAGAACGGGATATTCGTTATTCTGGGGTGATCTACGATTGTAATGTTGTGATATACTACTCAATATTTGAGGTTGTACGAATGCACCAACAACAAGAGAATCACAAATTCCTATCCCATTTTCACCGGAAATTTGTTATTCGTCGTGGACGGCGTGGTTTAACCCGAAATCTTGGTGGAAAATGGCCTGAGCTGTTCCAAATGAGAGCAAACGGTTCAAGTGTTTGCACAAGAACGATACAGATCGACTGCCGGTAAGATTTTGTGAAGTGGGTCATTCTCATTCCTTTGTCTTCATGCACTCTTCAAATTTTTCTTTCAGCGCCACAGAGCTGTGTTCTGGTTTTTGCCACATCTTGCGTGCACCATTCAAAGTTCAACGTGAAGATGGTGAAAAAGGAATAGTTTATGTATGGATTGGTACGCAAAGCGATCCGCACGAGCACGAATACGCGAGACGGGTGAGCCATATTTTAATATCTCTGTTTTTCAGGTTTTTTTTATTAAAGTGTTGTATGCGTTAGATTTTCGTGTAAAATTGGTTGTAAAGGTGGCGGAGGAGATGATCAATCGACATGATGAGTGCTTCCCAGTGGAAGTGATCAAGGAAGGCGAGGAACCCGATGACTTCTGGGAGTACATGGGAGGAAAGAAAAAGTAAGTCAATTGATTGGGTATTATCTAGATTGGCATGTTTCTTGAATCAATTCTTTCTCCATCTTAGCTCCGTGCAGCTCTTTTTCTTACAGTTGTTCAATTAGGTCAAACGTTAATGTCTGCTACTTAGCCCTTGAAGGTTTCCGTGTCAGTGGGGCAGAAGTTCATCGCAAATTAAACCACTATAAAAAAGATTGAACGATCTTCTGAGACTTCTATGTCAACATCCGAAACGAATTTTTTTTGTAACATTAGTCAATTAATGTTTCCTTGTGGCAAAAGCGGTTTTTTTGTTCCAATGCGGGTAGCCAATTTCGTTACTATGACTGTATGGTCCATGGACCCTAATAGACAGTTTTAGATAACGAAAACGCCGAAATAAGACAAAATAAGGATTCTCTCCATGTGTCTCACTATGCGCTGCGTGCGCTATGATCTATGCCGCTTTATACATACATTTAAGTCTCGATACTTTCACAGTGTGCCAACAAAGTTGTTGCACCTGATTTTCCGAATTAGGTTTTCCCTTTGTTTTTTTGACTGGTTCTGTTCGGTCAATATTATACCTTTTTCTGGATTGATTTCATTGTGTAGCGCGGTCTATGTGTGAATTACATATTTCTGCATTTTCATATGCAATTTTCCAGTTATGAAAAGGACTCGTCGTTCTTCCGTTACACACGATTATTCCGCTGCACTAACGAGAAAGGTTACTTCGCAGTCTCCGAGAAAACCGTCGATTTTCTGCCAGGTATGCTTCATTCCTGTTTTTATTTTGTATAAACGCATGCTATAACGTATGTTAAAATGATAAGTGAATCTATAATATGTCACTTGCCAGGCCGCCGATCTGTCTCAGCTTCTTATGCAAAGTAGTCTGTCAAATTTGTAGTATGGTATGCGTATCAAACATGAAATTGCATATTTCATATACTACCAAGTCCATCCCGACATCCTTCAACTTCATACATATAACACACTGTACTTACTACCGTCTTCTATACCTTTGCTTCGCAGGATGATTTGGATGATGACGACATTATGATCCTCGACAATGGTGAACTCGTATTCTTGTGGTTGGGTGCTCGAGCTAGTGAAGTCGAAGTGAAACTTGCTTACAAAGCCGCCACGGTAATTTTCAACCATATCTTGAATAGGTATTCGTCGTCTTTTAATATCTTCCTACATTCTACGCAACGAAAGAATTCTGTTTGTGTATGGTCAATTGAGTCATTTTTCAGGTGAAATGGAGCAACGTATATTTTGGCAAGTTTTATTGAACTTTTGTCAGGTCTACGGTTGCTCATTCTGAGGATGCGTCAAACGACGCGACCACAGTACATTTGAAGTTGGCCCATAAAGGAAGATCAAAGCGTTCAAGAAATGGTTTCCAACGCTTGGGAGGCATAAGTTAGAAATTTATTCATCGTTTTCTATGCTTTAAAGTGAGGTGAGTGCACCTCCCTGTAATACAAAGTGTCAAGTCCTCTCGTTAGTTATTAGATTCTTGACCTGGTTGTCTTGATAGTTACTGGTGGATGTTTGGGCTCTGCTAGAACCTCTGCCGGGTCTTCAAAGTCGTGTTTATTTTATAATTTTTGACCCAAGGCAACCTAGTACAGTCGATTCACCGCCTAGTTTTCTTGTTTAAATGCTTTCTATCTACTTCTAAATCGTTTCACACATGTGTGCATCTTTCGCTTATCCGCGATACCTCTTTCTGAAACACTCCCCTGCCGTCGCGAAATCCACTTGTCAACAAGGGCAATATAACGTCAGTGTTGCAAATCGTGGCAGCAGTTCTCGTAACTAACAGACTTTCAGTTGGAGAGGTGTCAAGCAGTGTCAGCAGTAACTCCTGCCATTTCCTCCCGGAACTTCGATGAAAGCACTATTTCAAGGAGTAATGTATGCACGCAAAGATATGTCTCCCCCTTCTGCCATTGGAGATCTCCCGCCGGTCTGGTTTTTTTATAGCAGCTGCCCTTGCAGTACAGGTGTTGCATGTACATACGGTAACTGTTTTGACGTTTTCAACACTTTTGGAAAAGATAAATTCTTAGTGTTCAGGTCCTGCTGATATTGATATGTGTCAATATCTAGTGCAGAATTTGATACTAGTCTTTTTTTCTGTTATACGAATCTTACGTTACTCGGTTTTGCTCACGACATGGTCTTCCCAGCTTTCAATCCATTTTGTTCTACTTTGTACAGTAAGCATTTTGTTGGTGCCTTGTGGGCACGATTCCGCTTTCTAGGTTCACTTTATAACTTATTTCTTTGTCATGCTTATGTTTCTCTGTTGTAGTGAGAGAATAAGCAATTGAGATTCGGATTTATTGAGGTGCGGTGTTATGTTACTTCATCTGGGCAAGGGTCTAGTCATGCTTCTGTCTACCTCAGAACGTTTGTGTAAATCTTCGTCAAACTATTAGCTCGAAAACTTTCAGACTGATGGGAGTTCTGAAGGAAACGGCTGGCGAACGCATTTTTTGTAGTGTACAGGTGCTATCAGAATTGATTATACTCTAGCATTGACTCAGATGTTGATTGTTTCATTGTAAGTATGTATGTGCACCTTATTGTTTTCAACTGCAAAGAGTTTATAAAACCAGACAATATATATCTGCGATATTCAAGAGTAAGGTTACCAATTGCAAATAGCGGAAAACACGCTTCCCATTCCCTTCTACTGAGATGATACCTCTGGCAAACGTTCAGGAACTTTCGAAGATTTTCATATGAGAAACGCTTCTTGGCTGTTTTACTTCACACCGAATCTTAACCGACGTAGTGTTCAACCAAATTCTTACTCAATTGAATGATAGGTTACCGGAAAGCTCGTGTTTGGTTACAACATATAAACTCCAAAATGATTCGCGGACTTGCCTGGGAAATCGTGATCAATGAACGTTGGCTGTCAATGCAGAGTTCGCTACTCGATGAAGGTCTATTTGCAAGGGATTCTGATGCCTCTGACTACGAATTTGACATCTATACTTGGCGTAGACGGCATTTAGCTCCAAGGAAGCGCCAACCTCGAATGCAAAAATATTGTCATCTCCGTAATCGAATGAGCTGCTGATCGAGTGTGGTTACCTCCTTGATACGGTCACATAGCAGTTGTGTTCCGTTGACCATCACCGTAGTCTCAGTCGGATTTACTTAGATCACAAATCGAAGTATCCATGGAAGCTTGAAACACGTCCCTCGTTAGAGCTGGTAGGCAGCCATAGGCAGGGGCAACAAAATATCAATAAAGGCAGTTTCTTGCAACTTCTTATCGACTTTTTTGGGCTTGCTTGCTCTAGATTCTTCCGTATATCGAAAAACCAAAAACCCAATAGTTTACGTCGTCTGATTGATACAATTTCAGTGGTCCTAATATTTGAAGACACAGCTACCAGGAAGTGATCACCGGTGAACATCGGTTAAACAAAGGCTCACTGAGCTGGTCATCCACTGTCTGGGTGTTTCATCTTTTGAAGAAGCAGTGATTGGTCAATGAGTATACTATCGACGAAATATGGACAAGAATTTGCCCGGGTTCGCATCACCTGGCTCAGAATTCCAAAACGAATTTTGCCGTTTTAAAAGCTCGTGTGGATTTGCGGGACTGCCTTACGGCCATTTATAAAATTCTGGACAATATATGATAATGTGTGCATTTGTTTACAGCAATATAGTGAAGGCGATCATTAGTTCAAAGTAGCATAATATCTTCTTCACGACAACGCCCTTGAACTGGGGTTATCCGGAGGGAAAAAGTGAATTCAAAGCAACCGAAAAGGGCCACCACATCCGCTGCGACCTGCAAACTTGCCTATCTCCTTTCCTTCACGAAGGTACAGAGTATGGTCATTGTGAAAATCGCGATTAGATGAAAGGATAGATAATGCCCCATTGAAGTATAAAAACAGATCACCTCTCGAAGAGACACCGAACCGACGCCTTTCATGGCATCGCTCCCCCATCCCATGTGTTGAAGGGTTTACTATTTCGTTGTTTTTTGTTCACCACAGCATTCCTCATAACCTTTATACTCCGCTTCTTTTGGGGCTTAGGAACTAGAATTTACTAATATCTGTGTGACACTTTTATGCAATGTATAGCGGGCGTGAACCAAGAGGGGGTGCACATGATTGTCTCATATGTATTACCTCTTTTATCTATTATGTGCCTAACTCCAAGCTCATCGTCGTACTTACCCAGATATTACCGAATGAGATTTCTCGGTTCTCATTGAGAGTAATAACCTTCTGCTGTAGCGGAAGGATTTTTCCGTCTCTCTACTTCATGTCTTCAATTGTTAATCTGGTTAGGGTTAAAGGCACCGGTTGCGGTAATTTGATTACGAAGAAACTCAAAGGTAAACGTGTCAAGTGGTGCGTTCATGATGAAGAAAGAATAGGAAATGTAAGAAACCCGAGGAAAGGGGCCCTCGTCTAGCTCGTTCATTTAGGTTATACGACGAGATCATACAACATTACATCATGTAGAATATTGGTCATTTGCATTAACTCAACAGCGGAAATCATGCCAGTGCCGATCGACAGGTAGTTGTCGCTGCGACTCTTATACTACGACTTTTTGAAAATATTATTATTGTGCTGTAGAATATTAATGTGCTGTAGAATAACTATCTCTTGGCCACATCAAATATCTATAGAGTTTGGTTGACGTACGCTGGGTCTGATTAGAGATTTGGTCCGGGGACCAATGGCACGGTAGCGACCCCGTTGTTACCACTCCATCTTCGCTAGAACGACTACTTTTGAACTATGGGCTAGCACTACAATTAGCATCAATAAATACACACGTTTAGCATTAAGAGTGTGCAAAGCACAAAAATTAGCTTTGGAAGCTGCACACACTGACCCGTGACCTGCGGTACTACTTGCTTTATTGGCTTATCCAGGGTAAGTCACTTTGATGTGTGGATTTGTGGTCTGTGTTCCTGTCTCAAAAAGTCTTAAAGCTTTGGTAGTTCCTTTGACTGAGGAAGTGTAAGACATGTGTACCAACAATAGTCAACGGGTTAATGCGTATCAACAACACATTTTGGAATGAAAAGTGATAAATGAGGAGTACTGTATCATAGCACGTTGCTGTTGTCGTTCTTTCCACTTCTGCAATGAATGGGTGGGCCAGATTGGAAATGTTGAATTTCCAATCTGCAATGGTGGGCGAGATTGGAAATGTTGAATTTCCACCTCTGCAATGATGGGTGAGCCAGGGTTGGAGACGCTGAAGGCCTGATCGTGAACACGGGATTTGTTGCGACCACTGCCCTTCAAAGTATTTTTGCATGTTCGCGTGTTTCTGGTGTAGAAAAAAAAGTTATGAGAAACTGGAGTTGTATCTTCTGCTGTGGGCGATGATGGCCATTCAGTTGCAACTGCTCGAGATGCTCTTAACAGAAAGAAACATCTTTTGTTTAAAGCTATCAAGCGGCTGTCGAAATAAACAACAGAGAGGGGCTCATGGAAGCAATGATACTAATAATTTAACGGTGGATACAAGCACATACTGTGAAATATTCACGAGTACTGCTCATTTTTAGTGGCATTCATATTAGCCGCGAATGTGACGAGGTAAGCGTAATTCCTTTTGTGTCGTAATGGGCTAAGTTAACACTTCTGAGATATTCGCCGTAACAGTTTTGCATATCTTAATTAGTTGAAAGTCCCGTGTGGACGCTATCTTGTTACACTTTTGTTTAAAGAGTACCTGTTGTGATATGCTTTGTAAGCAATATAGGTTTGAGGAAGCCATTACTACATTGAAAGCTAACCAATAAATATTGAATAAATACCAATAAATATAGGAACGAGCCCCCAATATTGAAATCTCTTGAGGAGAAGATATACAGGGGTGGTTAAAAAAAGAGACACTTCACTCCACATTTCAGACAGCATTAATCACACTTTGCTGAACTCAAATCACTGCTCTAAACGACGTAAGCAAACCAGCCCTTTTGGCACATCGGCTGGGACCGTATGCTGAATGTTGGGGAGGGGATGGTGTCCCCGACGGTGGACGGACAACTTCAACGCGGTCCTTAGAACCGCCACAATTTGGCGCTTACCTTAGAACTAAGCCTTAAAGAGAGGACGGGTCCGTCCCCTCTCCTAGGCTTAGTCCAAGGGTGAGCAGACCGGTCCTTCTGGCGAAGCTACTGGACCAGCTGCACCACTTGCGTCAGTACTCTCCTATCGTACCAACCGAGTTGAAGTAAACCGTCGACCGTTGGGGACCCCATCCCCTCCCCAACATTCAGCATACGGTCCCAGCCGATGTGCCAAAAGGGCTGGTTTGCTTAATACCTAATAAGCATACTATACCCATGACGAAGGGCGTACGACTTTTCTTTTGTTTGGAATGTTTCTAGCAATCTTAATATACCCATATATACTCTCAGCAATGTGGAATAACATATCTTCCCAGGACCTGGACGGCTGGATTTTTGACAAACCTACAATAAATTTTACATACATTTTGTCTTAATTTACATAAGTTTACTATTTGATGGGTGGCTTACCCATGGTTCGCACGTCCCGAGACCCCTTCCCCTAAATATAGCCACATCCTTGCTCGGGGTTGTTGTTTCGCATTTTTCGATAATGTCACCTACAGCTTCCATTCATTCTTTGCACCCTAGTTTTAGAGCGGAAAGGCGGGGCTACGAACTTGTCGTCAACGGAAATCTCTTTTCGGATGATGAGACTCCGACACCTACTTTAGCCCCGTCTTACCCCTGCTGTTCACATAAGCCTACATAAACCCTACCCTGGGTGGCGGCGTGCGCCACATGGTGGCGCACGCGAAAAATACACTGGCCGTCCGTTATGGGTTAAATAGCGGATCCCAGTCTACCAGTAAACTTTATAATAGCTTTCTGCACCAAGACATCACAAGAATTTGCCATGGGAACCTTGTGCACGGTTCGAGCTCAACTGGTCCTCGACGGATCATGGACCATTACGACGTTATCTGAAAGGCTGGTCGGAAGGGGTCTTGCATATTCAGAGCTACTGTCCTAGGAAGCAATCTATCAGTGATCCGATTGAAGAAATTTCGTAGCAGCTTCAGGCTGGAACGATTACGGTAGGCCTTCTTGAGCTCAACGGTGATGGAAGATGACGTCATATTTTGAGGACGGTGAGGGCAGTGGAGAGGGCCTGCTTCTACTTACGGAGGACATCTCTAAGGATATTTTGCCGTAAAACTTTCATTAACAGCGGCACCCTGTGCGACGAAAAGTTTGATGATGTGCGCCATGGGCAAAGTGTCTCTTTTTTTTGGCCACCCCTGTACATGAGGCTCAGGGACCACTCAATAATTTCTTATCAAAAAGAAATTATGTTCAAACTGTTACACTGCTGGAGCTCGAAGTAATAACAATAATTTAGGCAGTTTTTAGGAGCAAAAGAGCACGATGCTCTCCATAGTAGTATTTGTGTAGTATTAGTATCTGTGAGCTACACATAATTGTTTGAGCTACTGTAATGAAAGAGAACATTCCAGAAACTACTATATCTTCTCAAACTTCTTGGCAGTCAATAGAACACAACATTTCAGGTAGGTAATCAAACAAAAATAAAAGCAGTCGTCAAGTAAGTGGTGTAGAAATGAAGCTCTTGCTACACAAGGAAGCTGAGTTGCTGTTCTCAGTTTTGTTAACTATTTTTTCTGAAAGTTTCGGTTTAGTAGATACTAAAAGAGTCGCATCGCTAGCTTCTTGGAAGTTTTAGAGGACGTTACCTCTTTTGACACGTTTTCTTTCGTTAGCAGCAAATGCCTCCATTAGGCAACAGACTTCATAAAAAGTTTGAATGGACTTTGAAATGTCTCAGCTGTGCACTTGAACCCTGACTCACGCTGAAATCTGTCACACTAAGGTTTACCGGGGCCTCTATATCTGCAGGCCTAACTTATCCGAACGGTGCTATGTCATCAGAAGCTATTTCAACTTATACTTTTCTTACGTAGAGAATGCAGAACACAGCCTTGAGAATTGTTTTTCTTCCATACATGATGGCACAAGATACTCACTACTAACATCTTGATTATAGCACCTAGAAACATCTGTCTCTCTAAATTCGATGGTGGCACTTGGTTAGAAGCATATCTAACCCAGGCTCTTGTGAAACGTACTGACACAACGAGAAGACCGTGGCGGCTTGTATTCAATCTAATTCTGATCGAATTGTTAACTATCGGCTTTTCCGAATCAGTTCGGCTGCGTATATGATGGTAGAGACATTTAGATGCGCTCGTATGTACGCTATCGTTTGCTCATTGCGCTCCTTATCACTGGACCTTTCTTGTTTGACGAAATACTATTCTCATCCGATCACGTCGAAAGGGCTCTCACTAAGATGAATGACGCCTTTTCTAGTTGGCGATCGTGTATGGAAATCCAATTGGATATGATGAGGCATGAGCCATTGAAGGTATTGTCACTTCTGGGGCCGTAAGGGTATGCTTCCCCGAATGTTGCGGGGACGAAAGTCCCTTTAAATTTTTTGTTTTGAACGATACTGTTTCTTTATTTTCAATGCATGTTTACTTTAAGCTACACACATATATTAAATGTAGGCCCTTTATCAGGACAATCCCAGTTGGGACGACAGAGAAAATTTAAAGGGACTTTCGTCCCCTAACCCTTCGGGGAAGCATACCTTACGGCCCCTGATTCAAGTAGATAGTCTTCTAAAATACATACGTCACTCCTTCTAGATGTGGTTGGATTTCCCTAGTATTGCATCTTTCTGCAAGGCTACTACAGAAGTCTTTAGGATCAAGCTCTATACTATTAAAAACCGTGATGAAGATAAGCACTGTATTCTAAGCTATGTAGGGATAATTATATTTATTATGATAGCAAGCGTACTCTTTGCAAGTCGCATGTTTTCAGAACAGCGATCCAAGCATAGTTGTTACCTTAGGTGTCGGCACTGATATAAGCGCTGAACAACAATTACAACGTATGCTACCAAAGGTAAGCCATATAAACGAAACATCGATATGTCACACCGCCAATGAGTTTCGTTTTTATTTCAGGGGTCAGAGTTCTTCGGAGCAGATCCAGTGGCAGCGACAAATGCCGACATTTTTAGCGAAATCGGGTTATTTTTCCCAGTAGCTGTCAATCATCGCTCTGGTCTCTCATTTTCCAACATTCGACTACACAATGGTAATTGCCGTGACTATAGAGTATAGAAAGCAAATTGGTACAGAAACAACGTGACCTATGTAGTTTTTGTAGATGTAATGATGACCAATCAGTTCACCGAACACTGATCGCATCGCAACCGATAAATACATAAATAACGTAGCTTACCTGGCAAGTAGTCTACACACATTGAAGGGCAGCACATTCGATACTAGCACTTTTTTCTTCAAGACTGTTCGATCAATCATCTGTACGTACAGAAAGTCAATAAGTAAGTTGATGTCAAGTCTGACTTCAAGCTTCTCTGCTACTCTGCTTGGTCCTGCATCCTGCAAAAATAATACTTTTTAAAAGCAGCAAATGAAAATTTCTCATAAATTTTTTCTTGAGAAACACTACATGACCGACTATTCCTAAGTATCTCGTAACTCAGGACCGGCCCAGGCTGGCAAAAATTTTATACACGGGCATGCCTTACTTTAACACTTTGGAGACCGCGCGTGTTTTACGTTCCGCGGCCGCGCGGGACTTCGGTGAAATTTTTAGGGATCTTATCTAGCAAATTCAAAAGAAGAACCCACTGTATAATGCAGAAGAAATCTTATCGGATAAAATGGAAAAGAAAATGAATGAAAAACCTAATAATTGTTTCCGAAATGCGAGCTGAAAGGTCCTATGCGGTCGAGGACTGCAGCCCACATATGGGCTGCGTGGGCTCCAAGGTGTTAATATTGCTATTTGGTCTGCTGTTCAGTTACATACATACATTTACATGATTTTTCTTGTAGTGTACTATTGGAGGTTACACAAAGATCTGGTAAGACAAAGCGGAACTCAATCAACCAGATCAAACCAAATGAATGTTAGCTTTATTAGTAGTATTCATAAGTTGCGTTTGGGGCTAGATACCTGATGGGTCCGAAGTACAAGACAATTGGTAGTGTAAAAGCTTCATTATAACAGTCCAAAGTGACTTGAGGCTCACAATACAATATAATACAAAACATGCACAATGTGTAGGTTTGTGCAATGGAATTCAGCACTAGCCAATGCGAAATCGCGATTGCAGTCAGTAGCACGGTGAGGTAACCAATGTCGCGCTTGAATCCACATACACGCGGCTAGGCGAACTCGTACGTTTTCGTTGGATAGATAATGAGGGGAATCCAAAATGGTAACTATTTAGCAACCCCGTTCGATGAAGGCCACAAAGTGCTGAGAGTCACCGCAAGCCATAAATATCACTTGAACCGTTGCTCTTACGTAATCATGAAGGAGGTGATAAGTGAGGAGCTATGTTGTCATTATAAACTCCATCATCGGTAGTACTAAACTAGGTACTCGAGGGCTGAGTCCCTCGCTGAAACTTCTCGAACTGTAATGCTGTTCCTTGTGTAAGTAACAAATTTCCTTTGAGAGCGCCAAATTGGATGCACCCGAGCACTAATCGTAAGATTGCGAGTGTCCGTCACTGCGTAATAATTACATGAGAACATCTCACAATTCAGAGGAGTGACGCGGGTAGGGCATCGAGCAATCCGATCATAGGAGTTCTTTGGAATGAAATACTGCAGGGAAGATGTTTGACGAAGGACCCATGGCTAGAGAAGGGATTTCGGCATCTAAGTTGTGATCAAGACTTCTTGTTAAATATAACAAATAAACATGGACCTGGACAGTAGGGGAACGTCTGCCTTTTGTAATCAAGGGACTTCCACTTTACGTTGAATGTTTAACTTCGTGTTTGATGTAGCACCCTCTTATTTTAACCTATTTTGTAGTATTGGTAGTATTAGAACAATCACAGCTCCACTATATATCCAGAACAAATCCCATGTAAGAGAATATATTAATGCTTCAGGAACCTACAAGAAAACAATACTGGAGCATGTCCATTTCTTAACGTTCCTTACGAAAATGGTGAATCGTTCACGGATCGACTTTCTATTCATGGACGTTGAGAATCCTGAGTATCACCTGATTCCAATGATAGCCATTGACAATATATTTTCTGAACACAACATTGTTATCTGCCAAATAAATGTAGAGGTGAGCAAAGCTGTCGTGACAGTGTTCAATTTTATAAAACATTTAAAACTATTCCGGGTTCTATCGGACAAGGGTGTGTGAGCTACAGGTATTTCATCGCTAGCTCTTCGAAAATATCGTGCCCGCCTTAGCTTCCGTTGTAAGCATGACGTTCGGCATGATTAGCTGAGGCAACCGGAAACCGGAGCCGACAGAGTGAGGCTTACGTCATAGTTTGCGAATCGAGCGATTCGCTAGCGAATCGCTGGATCCGAGCGTTGCGCCAGCGAATCGAACGTTGCACCAGCGAATCGAACTTTGCGCCAGCGAGTCGAACGATGTACCAGCGACTCAATAGTGGCGGGGGCCCAACGTTTCAAAGGAAGCCCCCCTACCTTGCGAACAGTTCGTCACGTAACAGTGGACCCTTTTTGAAAGTGGCGGGACTTGACAGAGCACTGTTTGAAAGTGGCGGGGCTTCCTTTGAAACGTTGGGTCCCGCCACTATTGAGTCGCTGGTACCTAGTTCGACTCGCTGGTACATCGTTCGACTCGCTGGCGCAAAGTTCGATTCGCTGGTGCAACGTTCGATTCGCTGGCGCAACGCTCGGATCCAGCGATTCGCTAGCGAATCGCTCGATTCGCAAACTATGACATCGGCCTCAAGTCGTGTCCCACAATCTTAATATTCTTATTTCGGAAACTATTAGGCGTTTCAGAAAGTTCTGTCGTTTTCCGACCCCGAATTTTAAATGCATGTATCTCGGCTTAAAGTAAACCTTTCAAGTTGATTAAAAAACCATTCGAATGCGCGAACCTTTCTCTATAAGAAACCGTTTACTGGGTACGTTTGTTCAGAATGCTGGAGCTCTGGAGGCGATGAACTGAGGGAAGGTCGTTTTAGCATCATGTTGGGTTTTGATGCATTTCTCTTCAAGGAAGCTATCGAGATCGTCAGAAATGTGACAGTAGATAGATCAAAGGTCTACTAAGTAAGATGTTCGCAGAACCACTCTGAAGTTCAGCTGGTACAACTTGTGAAGGGTTGGCGGTGCGATGTGCGTTCAAGACACCTTTCAGGATGTGTCCGTTCCTTTATAATGAGGAATGCTGGACCCATGTCTTGGAGTTTTTGGTGAATTTTGACGTAATGTTAAGACTGCTTTTCCACTGTAACAGTTCCATACGGAAGAACATGGCCAGCCGCTGACCTTATGAAAGTTGCCATAACCCTCCTTCAGCACAGTTTAAGTTTTGCAAAGTTTGTAGAGCTTCATCGCCGTCGAGCTATTCAGCAAAGCTTCGTGGACTATAGAGAAGAATCCGCTCTTTATTGTACGTCGCAAATCTGTAGAAAAACGAGTCGCTTTTATCACATAAAACAAGCGACAATTTGATGGACGACCCTTCAAATTGGTGATTTGTCGCGGCACGCCCCTATCAAATTTTTTGGACTTTCCAGCTACTTCCGTATAGCTTGGCTGTACAAACCATATACGCCCAGGTTGGGCAGAACCTCCTCTATGGTCTTACGCACGAGTGCCTCAATCAGAACTTTTGGCTAATCGGTGGCAACGTCCGATATCCGACCACCACTCTCATCATACCCAAGGCTCTCGCTTTCGTTACAATAACTTTTCGAACTACTGCTTCTGAGCACATTTATTGCGAATCTAGGCCAAGTGCATCGTTAATATCTTGAACTGTTCCCGCTACTTTCAGGTCTATTTAAAGCTAGAAAAAGAAAGTCATGCCAACTTGCTCATCGAGTATACCGCATTCAAAGCTTTGAAAAAGCTATAAGAAAATATTTTAGGACAAAGCTAAGCAAGCATTGGATAGAGCTGGAAAAGTTCTTCAAAATGACATCAACATCAATTGCAGCTTTCCTAGATTTCAAGGGAAATAAAGCATCCAAAAGTGGAATGTCAAAAAACGACAGAACTTTTTGAAACGCCTAACAGAAGAGCGTCGAGTGCAGATCACACACCACAAGCGACGACGGCCAAGAAGAACGCGGATTTCTTTTTCGTCTTTCTTGGCCGCCTTCAGTTGTGATGTACGGTCTGCATTTGACGTTCTTGTCATTTTCCGAAATAGAGGGTACTAGCACTTCTAATAAGATAGGCTCCAATTCTTTGCTTGAAGTGGTCTCAGAAAGGCCTCGCTGCCAGTTCGCAAACTTCCCAGCGAAGTGCACAAAACAGCTGCGACTACAATCAGCAGCTGTATTCTGCGCAAAAAGAGTATTGGTTTAACTGAGTTCATCCTGGAGGATCCTTCCAAAGAAGAACCAGAAGCGAACTCTTTTTCTAGATCATTAAAATTATTTCAAATGATAATATCCCTTATTACAGTTCCACGCAAAACAAGGTCACCGAATGTTCCCGCGTTTGATATCGGAAATGGTACAAGCAGGCCGTTATGCAGCAATTCATAGTTTCATCGACACACACCAGCGTGTATTTCTTGTGAATTATCAAGACACCTTCTGCGTCCGCAAATACCTTTTGCAGTACTTTTGAAGACTTTTTGTTAACTCTTGTAGAAAATTAGTGAGTAGAAGTGAGGGAATAGCTCTCACAAATGTTCTCATTTCAAGTTAGCTTTTAACTGGTTATAATTACTTTTTCCAGGACAAGTGATGTCTCTGTCCCGAAATATTCTCAGGTTTGCTTATGCTATGGAACTTCACTTAGCCCTGCAAGGCACTAAATTTGGGTTGCTTGCAATAAAGACTTCCGTGATGAAAACCGTGACCTACACAGAATTGTTCTCAACAGAGTTACTGTTGTTTTGTATTTACTAGACCTGAGGAAGGGCTTAAAGCCCGAAATATCGTCACATAAAAGATTTTGAAGAGTTTCATACCATCTGCACACGAAGAATTTCTTTAATAGACTGATAGAATATAACTTTCTCACAAATTTAATTGATCGGCTCTGGCTCAGGGTCACGCCCCATATAACAAGTCTGGTATCTGGCTTAGAGCCTAGCACTGCTTTCATTACGAAAATGCCGAACTCTCTCGGAATATTTGTCTTTGTTTCTTCTGCCTTTCGAGGTTGATAGGTGGAACATTTATTCAATCGGCCTAACGTTTCGACAAAATCGTCGTCTTCTGAGGCCTAAACGCGGTTCAAGGTTGAAATTACGATCTAATCCACCAAGCGCCTTATCTCCTCTAGCGGTTCCGACTTTCCGTCGGGAGTCCCACCGAGAAACATAAGCAAAACGAATTTTGAACTCACCCAGGGTTCCACCGTTTGTGCGGGAATCCCGCTTCCGCACAAAAGCGCCGGTCAGTAAGAAATAAGGCACACCGTAATGTCTCCTGATTCGAGTAATCGCTGGGAAACGCACGGAGACACAAAGAATGCCGAGGTTACAAGAAGAGAGAAGCTGGAGACTTCTCTCGGAATAGTTTCCGAATGTCATATGGAAAACTTGTAGAATATCAATTGAAAACTCGGCCTAGAATCTTCAATTCTCTCATAAGCCTAATGATAACCATCTCAGTCGCTTCTTCGAGCAAATCTTCGGTATTGGTTTTGTTTCCATGCGCTTGATACAAGGACTAACAAATCGAGCTTCTCCTCACACGGAAGGCCGAAACAGCAGATTGTGTACGCGGATCTTCGAAACCACAGAAATTTTTCATGATTGTCGTTTGAACATAATGACTATAGCTCATCAGTGATACGTTCCCTTCAAGTTCGCTGTGACTTTTGATGCTTTACACATTGACGATTTTTATTTTTCGAAAATTCGCGTTTTATTTCCATGGGTTTTGTATTTATCACATAGAACATAACTCAATATAACCGTGAAAAACTGGCTCAAAGAATTTCCGGAGGCGCTCTATTCTATTAGCTTGTCCCATAATTAGTGAATCACTTTACATTTATTGCTATAAAAAATCCAAGAAAAATGGTGAAGGCGTGAAACATGTTTTGCGAAGTAGCACCCACATTATCCTACCTGAGCATTTAGTCAGCCCATTTACACGCTGCCTTACGTGGCTATTACATCAATTTTTCTAAACCTATTTTTGAGCTTCCTTCTTCATCACTTCTGATTAGGATCTTTCAAACGCCAAACAACATAGTGGATCAACCAGCAGATAGGCGAGGACACACTCCTTCAATCCACGGTTCACTCTATTCCGGATTTGGCTTTTTCATTTGAAGATGACCCACACTCCAACTACCCCTCTACTGGCAATCTTGCTGCTCTACCCAGCGCCACTGAGATTGGATCTGGACAAAGTAGTCGCTATTTGTCAGAGCATATCCGACTTGTTAAGATGATGGAATGTAGACATCTACGTAGAGTTGTAAAGATTTAAAATATGGAATTTGTATCTCACATGCTCTGAGCCCGAAATCAGCTCCGAACACGATCTGACATCATCATGTTCCTTCTGATTTCCTAGAGTTCCTTTCAGTGATCATCCTGCATATTCACCAGTGTTGTGGACTGGGTGGAGTGTGCTAGCAAATCCACAAGGAGCAGTAGCCTAGCTCAAGCGATTCGGGAGTTCTGACAGCAAAAGCCCAACTTCCTCTATGTTCGACACTTCTGAAATGTTGGTGAAACACGAAAGGAACCATGCGCTGGGAACCGCCAGTAATACTAGGGTCAGTGAAGAAGGCAAACGTGGACAGCACAGTGGCAACGTGTTCAATTTGAAAGCAAAGCAAGACAAAGTCTGCTTTTTTTCTGAGGTCGTTCGACCCACCTTGGGTAGATTATTCATAAAAAGTTGGCGACTCTCAGGCTGACAGGCTTTCACCTTTGTTGTGTAGCATTATTCTCGTACCTGCTGAAGACTATAGCACTCTAAGAAGAAATTTCACGAAATTTAGACGACGAAATTCAGAGAGAAATTTTTACGAAACATAGATGACAAGATGAGGCGTCCATAACATTATTTTGCAGGATTTTTTTGATTAATTAATTGAATTAATTTGCTCTGTTTTAGGGGGTCGTGCCAGGATCTCGATTTCGGGGGGGGGTCG